CCCCCCCCCCCCCCCCCCCCCCCCCCAGATAAGAACAAAGAACATCCTTTGTTTCAGACAAAGAATTTCAGGAGAAACCACAAAATGTTCAAGCAAAACATTTAACGTTTGATTTTCCACCCGTTTTGCCAGCACTGTAAGTTTTCCCATAGTTCTAATATCAGTGTCAGTGAGGAGGGGAGGGGAAGCAGGTCAGAAGGACTACAGCCACACTGCAACTTAAAATCCATGCTCATTAAAGGGTAAGAGCAGGACACGAGTTGGGAAAAAAAAAAAAAAAGCATTTTAAATTAGTTTTTACTTGTTTGAAAACACAAGACATACCTCATTTGCACATCAGGAAATATCTCATTGAAAACCAGCTAGAAAAAGTTAGTAAGCACTGTTACACAAGCACCACCCAGGTGCTTGTCAGGAACACCCAACCCTGCACCCCGTCCTGATGGCCAACCCCAATGTCACAGGCTTTGTGCTCTGAGGGTGAGGGCCCAAGGATGTCACTGATGGCAGATGTTACTTAGTCTCTTTAAATGAGTTTTAGAAAAGCAGGCTTAAAAAGAAATGGAAACATTTCATTTTAAATCCAGTGGAGACTACTTTATTTAAAACACACACATGCTTGCCTGACACACACTTTGCTGCCTGTTTGAGTTGTTTTTTCCAATGCAGAGATGTATGCCACTTAGCAGCACCTGGAACCTTAGCTGCACATTAGGACATTGCAGTAGCCAGCAGTGCACAAGCAAGGAACAAAAAGGCATTTCCAGCCTCAGAGACAGGCAGCCTTAGACCACAGCAGCCAAACCAGGAATTATAATTCACTGTGACACCGACTAGTCTAGAGGTATGCTTCAGCTTCATGATAAACTGCTAACTTATTTTTTCTACTGTTTACATGAGGATAGCTTTTTGTAAACATAAATCTACCATCCTTTTGATTACTAGCATCTTAGCTCACCTTGTTTGAATGTAAGAATAAAAGCAGTGCTCTAAAGGTTACCTGCTTGCTGAGACTGAGATGTTATTGCACAGTCGTGTTCTTTCACACATCCTAAATACTCAGACACTTGCAGTACCTCAGGGCATAGTGTACTAAATTGACACTTCAAAAAGAATGCAAAAATCTTAACAAAAAAAGAAGAGATCACTTCTTGTGCACTCCTGCTATTCTTGCTTGCATTTTACAAAAGCCTGCAGACACTTTCCACAGAGCAAATCCTTCTGGCTGAGAGCAAGCAACCGTGCCAAAAAACCAAACAGCGTGTCAGAGAGCAGAGTGCAGTTTTGGTTTTCTCTAAAGGCAAGCTGCAATGTTTCAGAGCACATGGACCCATCTATGCTATTCCCCCAAACCAATCTGCTCTCTACGGTATCAGATTATATCCTTTCCAAGTGGCCATCCAATTTTAATACATTAATCATACTCAGTCTTTCAAGATAATCAGGCAGTGCATTATATTGATTATTTGACAGAGCTTCACGCTTGAGTTAGATTAGTTTAGGAAACTAAAAAGGGAAATAGGCAGAAGATGACATACTACCAGATGTAAGTGTTCCAGTAACAAGAATTGAATAAGGGGAAAAAAAAGCCTCCATAGACCTGTTGGAACCAGTGGGTGAGCTTTGGCAGATGAGGAAGAAAGATCTCTGTAGATGAATGACTTCCTGAAGCCTCAGCTGAGGCCATGGTGCCCAATGTCCCTCAGCTGCAGCTGTGCTGGTGCAGAGCCCTGCGCTGCCCAGCTCCCTTCTCACATGGCCACTGAGCAGCTCTCACCATCCTCCCCACTGCAGTTCAGGAAGAAAAAGACAAACTGAGAAGCCAGCAGGATTACCTTCAATAGTCTAATTAGTGGCTTGAGATAATCCACTTGATTTTGCCTAAAGCAAATTAGGCAGTGCTCACTGGAAGAATGCAGCCACTAGATAGAAGG